GATTCCTGCTTTCTGGGTAGAATCATAGAATCATAGAATATCAGGGTTGGAAGGGACCCCAGAAGGTCATCTAGTCCAACCCCCTGCTCGAAGCAGGACCAATTCCCAGTTAAATCATCCCAGCCAGGGCTTTGTCAAGCCTGACCTTAAAAACCTCTAAGGAAGGAGATTCTACCACCTCCCTAGGTAACGCATTCCAGTGTTTCACCACCCTCTTAGTGAAAAAGTTTTTCCTAATATCCAATCTAAACCTCCCCCACTGCAGCTTGATTGGCTTGATTGGTAGATTGGCTTCAGACCCAAAGCACAAGGTTTAATGTCCCTTCCAAAGTTTTTGTTGTTAGTTGTAACTCTGGATAGCCTTGCTATCCACAGAAACAGCCAATCCCTCTTTGAATCCCGTTTAGTTCATGGCTGCAATGAGCCCCTCGGTTTAATCACATGTGGTGAGACAGAATATTTTCTTTTAGAGCTTTTGTATAAGTGGTTTACAGTTCCCTCTCTCCTTGGCGTTTATCAGCATTCAGTTTCATCTGCCTGGATGTTGCCCATTGCCGCAGTTTGGGAAGGTCTCCCTGAAGTTCCTCGTAGACCACTCGGATCCTGGCTAAACTAAATAACTTTGTGTCATCTGCAAATTTTGCTACCTCACTGCTCACCCCCCTTTCCAGATTGTTGTTAAATACATTTAAACAACCCAAGACTTAGTATGGAACCTTCAGGCCTGCTGTTTTGTAATGATGGGAATTGACCATTTAATCCTACTCTTGACTGTCTGCTAGTTTTTGATCCATGACAGTACTTATCCATGACTGCTTAGCTTCTTTAGTAGCCTTTTGTCCGGGACCTTATCTGGGGTATTTTGTAAGGGAAAATCAATTGTCATCAGGTTCTCCTTTATATCCACTGCATTACTGACACGTTTAAAGAATTTGGAGAGATTAGTGAGACACTATTCTCCATTGCTGAAACCAGGTTGGTCATATCCTGATCTTCCAGGTGTTTCATTATTCTGGTTTTAATGATCACTTCATGCAGTTTGCCAGGTACAGATACAAGGTTGGCTGGCATGCAATTTCTCAGATCACCCATAGAACCCATTTCAAATCTAAGAACATTTGCTGCCCTCCACTCTTCTGGATCATTGGCTGTGCTACATTCAGAAATATGATTTGAAGAGAGTCCAGCGGAGGGCAACGAAAATTATTAGTGGGCTGGGGCACATGACTTAGGAGGAGAGGCTGAGGGAATTGGAGTTATTTAGTCTGCAGAAGAGAAGAATGAGGGGGGATTTGATAGCAGCCTTCAACTACCTGAAGAAAGGGGGTTCCAAAGAGGATGGAGCTAGGCTGTTCTCAGTGGTGGCAGGTGACAGAACAAGAAGCAGTGGTCTCAAGTTGCAGGTGGGGAGGTCAAGATTGGATATTAGGAAACACTATTTCACGGGAAGGGTGGTGAAGCACTGGGATGGGTTACCTAGGGAGGTGGTGGAATCTCCATCCTTAGAGGTTTTTAAGGCCTGGCTTGACAAAGCCCTGGCTGGGATGATTTAGTTGGTGTTGGCCCTGCTTTGAGCAGGGGATTGGACTAGATGACCTCCTGAGGTCTCTTCCAACCCGAATCTTCTATGATTCTGTGCTTCTCACCAAGGGAATGGAAATCAGTTTGGATACAAAGAGTAAAAAGCTGAATATCCTCAAGGTTCAGAAATACTGTTGGTTAAAAAAGAAAAACGGGTCACATTTTATATTAAGGTTTTATTTATAAAGGGTTAATAAATAATCAGATGTTATACACTTGCTACAAACGTAAGTAACGTGTTGAAGATGGTTAAAAGTCACTTATTGACCTGTTTGGATTGTGTACCAATTGATTAACCATTTATTAAAACTTCTACTAATCCTTTATTAATCCTTCATAAACTATTTGTCAGTGGATTCTTAATATAAAGTGTGACCAAAGACTGCAAAAAGTGCTGTAGAATTTGATAAAGAAGAAGAATCTTTCTATGCAGTTTTCAAAGAAACCCATAAAATGCTATGTAGCAGGGGTATACATCTCTGAGATTCACTATTAAATGGCTTCAAAATGCTACAGAATGGTTCGCATGTTATTAGTTCTATTACAGGAACGCTCAGTGTTAATTGGGGCTCCATTGCACGAGGCACTGTACAAAGACGTAGGGCTTGTCTTCACGTACTGCGCTACGACGGTGCAGCTGAGCCGCTGTAACGCTTTTGTGAAAACGCCCGAGAGGGCTTCTCCTGTCGGAGTAGTTCATCCACCTCCCTGAGAGGCAGTAGCTGTATTGATGGGAGAAGCTCTCTCATCAACATAGCGTATTTACGCAGGAGGGTTAAAGCAGTATAACTGCATTGTTTGGGGGTGTGAATTTTTCACACCCTTGAGCGACGTGGTTATACGAATGTGAGTATGTAGTGTAGACCTGGCCATAGTAACATACAATCCCTGCTTTGGAGAGCTTAGAATCCAAGGGTAGGCTTCACCAAGGTATTTAGGCACCTAATGCCCATTAATTTGAAATCAGTAGGTGTTAGGTGTCTAAATACCCTGGTGAATTCCACGCAAATAGATAAGGCAGACCAAGGAAGGAGGGGAAATGGAGGTAGTGACTTGCCCAAGGTCACGTAGCAGGTCAGTGACAGAGCTGGGAATAGAACACAGGTCTCCTGAGCTACCGTGCCCTGTCTACTAGCCGTGTCTAGTACCCGTGCCCTGTCTACTAGCCCACATGTCTCCCCATCCATAGAATTAAATTTTCTATTCAATTTATTGGCCTAGCCCAGCGAACGGAAGGTCTGCTTGAGGTTCGTGCCATTAGCAGCGGCAGCCTTCTCCAGTGGGCACAAGGCTTCTTGCTCCACACCAGTCACCAAAGCTGGCTCGGAGCAGAGGAGATGCTGCACCTTGGAATGTCCCAGGCTCCTGCTGGAGATACTGATACCGGCTGACGTGCTGGCAGTGCACTTCCACACACACCCCTGCTACTTCGAGGCGTGATCTAAGCCCTATATTCTCAGGTCGCGTTGCAGTAAAGAACAGAATTGCCCATCCACAAAGCCTTTTGCTGTTCCTGGCTCCCAGGAGAGTCCACATCAGTTGAGATGACTCAGGACCCTGGAGAGTGACTGGGATGAAGCAGAAGAAAATGAATATTTCGGTAAATGAGTCGTAACGGTGGCAGAACCTGGGTAGTGTCATCCAGTGCAATCAGCATGGATGTTGTTTTGGGTTCATTTAGGCACTGAGTAATGAGCATTTTTGCTGCTAATCAGATTGATAACTAAGGCAAACTAAAATATTTGGTTTGCTCTCAGCAGAAGTCTCCTAAATTAAGAGTTTTCATCTCACCCAGGTAAGAGTAGGCAGATTTGCCTAGCAGTCGTCATGAATAATTACCCTGGTTAGGATGGGGGTGGGTTAGAAGCCAGGTTTTTTTCTCCATACTAATCCTAATCATTTAACTAAATTAATTGCTTCCAAACAGATGTCCAAATGTGTCCATCGCCTAGTCCCCTGGACAAGGAGCTACTCGTCACCAATCCTTATGCAGTTACTTGTTCTAACTTTCTAGCCATTGAGCAGTGATTCCCAATGTCTTTGGGCGATGCCTATTTACCAGAATAATACCTTGGCTCAATTGGTGCCCATCACCGAGATCGCTGCATATTCTACCCCGTGGATCAGGTGGTGCAGACAGCCTGGTGTAAGGACACTCTCTTACCCTATGGGAGGCAGGCATAGATGCGGGTGTCTAGAATGCCAGTCAAAGGAGTTGGTATGCAGTGTGTGGGAGCCACCATGCTGGTGGAGAACTAGCGTGGACAGGTTCAGGTGCGACTGTATCTCGTGGGTGTACATGGGACATGATTTCCTCGTCTCCTCTGGGTTGATAAAATCACGCCTGCTCCCAGGATGCCAGCAGCTTGTTGAAAGAGCGCAATTAATCGAGAAAGACATGGCTCTGTGCCAGGAGGCCTTTTTAATTAAAAGAGGTTGGGACATCTGAGAATCTCTATTAAACCTGGCGTCGCCACTGAAGTCATGGAGCGTGTGTGTGTCTGAATTTGGATGGCGGGGAGGGTAGAGCATCCTCTTGCTTGCTAACGTCTCTGGGGGGGAAGGGGGGTGTCCTGTGTCACAGACCTCTGGGGCCACGTACGCTTCCCCGTTGCAATCGTGTGACTTCTCCTGTGTTCCTGCTGACTTTGAAGGGATGTAGGGGTGGAGCTGGCTGCTCCCACAGCTCAGGCATAGCTTGTTACAGTTCATACTAACAGGGCAATGGGAGCCCGTGCCTTTAACAATGCTGGTGGAATGCTCCTGCCCTGCCTGGCCCTAAGCTTGGGGCATAGGTCCTGCATGCCAGGTGGAAAGAGGAGCAGCTGAGCCAGCCTGTTGGGCTGGGTACCAACGTTCCTTATTGCCTGGCTTAGAGGCACATGTTTGCTCACAGGGTGTGGGAGGCTGGGCAGGTGGGTGGGTGTGGCTGGTTCTCTGCCACTGGGGCATAAATGGGGGGTGCGGGGCTGCTGTCCTTCCTCAACGCAAACTTCCCCGCTCATCAAAGCCCTGGTAAACTCTGGTACGCACCTGCTTCTTTATTGGAACCATGCACGGCAGCATCTTCCCTGTGGTTTGCTTGAAGGGCTGCACCCTTCCTACATGGACTTTGTTATTTCACTAGGACATCAGAGGCTGCAGGCATAGCGCTATTTGGGTTTTTATACTGTGCTCGTCACCATGATATCTGAGCACCTGAGGTGTCATGGAGGGGGGAAAATGGGATCTATCCCGTCACGCTGTTTGGTGGTCTGTTAGATGAGCTTTAACCTAGTGGAAGCATCTGTTTCCTGTCATTCAGGTGGCCTCTTTTCCTCTCTGTATCTGAATGTTTTTGCTGGGTACTACAGAGCGGGAAGAGTGAGCCTGGTTCTAGGCAGGGCTCTGTGTCTCATCCATGTTGCTTTGTCCCCTAGCGGCTGGGGTGAAGGATGTTCTCCTCAGTGAAGCCCTACGAGAATCAGGACTTCTCGGCCCTGAAGAAACACTGCCAGCGGCAGAAGGTGCTCTTCGAGGACCCGCTCTTCCCCGCCACTGACGACTCCCTCTTCTACAAGTCACGCGTTCAAGGCGTCCAGTGGAAACGTCCGAACGTAAGTGAGGCTTGAATGTCCTCCCTGTGCACATCCTTGTGCCGCTCCCCGGGGTCACACCTTAAAAATCAAATAACTGCTCCCCAGCACGCTATCTACCGTAGGTACCCTGTTACCGTAGTATCTGAGCTCCTCGCCATCTCTAATATATCAGGTGGGTAGCCGTGTTTAGTCTGTATCCACAAAAACTATGAGGAGTCCAGTGGCACCTTAAAGACTAACAGATTTATTTGGGCATAAGCTTTCGTGGGTAAAAACCCCATTTCTTCAGATGCATTACCCATGAAAGTGTATGCCCAAATAAATCTGTTAGTCTTTAAGGTGCCGCCGGACTCCTTGTTGTTTTTCATCTCTAATGTATCGATCCTCCCATCAATTCATAGAATCCTAGACTATCAGGGTTGGAAGGGACCTCAGGAGGTCATCTAGTCCGACCCCCTGCTCAAAGCAGGACCAATCCCCAACTAAATCAAATTCTGGGAAGTAGGGCTCTGCTATTATCCCCATTGTAGAGATGGGGAAACTGAGGCACAGAGAGACTTGTCCAAGGTCACAGAGGAGGTCTGTAGCACAGCAGGGAACTGAACCTGGGTCCCTTGATTCTCAAGATGGCCTGCTAATCACTGGATTGTCTTTCCTTTACCTTGTTCTTGTGTGCGCTCAAAGCAAGGGAGCTGTCTGAAGGGAAGCATGACCTGTCGGACGTGTGGCACGACAGTGTGTTTAGTGGTTGGAACAGGAATCTGGGAATTGGGACTCCTGAGTTCTACAGGCCACATCCCGGATACCAGCAGCTCCCGTTGGGACCGGTCCTGCTCCTCTGAAGTCAGTGGGAGTTCTGGCATTGTCTTCAATGGCAGTCCCTTCTGGCTCATTGACGCCAATTGGAGTTGCAGGTGTTCAAGATGTTTGTTTGCTCCTTCCTCTGCCACTAACTCAGCACATGACCTTGGGCTTGTCCCTCAACGGTGACTTGTAATCATAATTCAACTGTGTTTGTAAAGTGAATATAACAATAGACCTAAGCTATAGGAGGGCTAGATGTTGTTGCTAATCCTCTCAGGGACTAACTGATGTTTGCAAAGTGCTGCTAAGATCCTAGTGGCTGGGTTTTATTTATTTGGTTTTGGATGATTATCACGCAGTTCTAACCCATTATTTAATGGCTTGTCAGCTGCAGCAGCCTCTGTCCCAAAGGTCTCCCAGAGATTTCTGTAGCTCTGGACCTCTGTTACTTGCTGGTCCCCCTTCAGGTGCTGTTTTTCCTCTTTGCTCTGCATGCGGCGATAGCCCCAGAGATGCCTACACACCGCAGAGATGGATGCGTCGGAAATACACAAAGAGACGGGAGAGTGGGGGTGCTGGGAAGTGAGGTGAATGCTGCCGGGGTGGAGGGGGGCCAGCAGCACGGTTCATCCTTGATCGCACGTGGAAAGGACGGGGCTGTGACCTGTGGTCCTGTGTCTCTGTCTGTCCGTGTCTCCTCGGCACAAGGAAATGCACTTGACGACATTCTCTTTGGCTGGGAGGGAGGTCATGCAGGGCACTGCGATCGGCTGCCAGCAGTTTGATGCACCTGGCATTTGCTCCCTGGGGTGCTCCCTGTGTTCCCAGTGCTGCATGCAGGGCCTGACTGAGGCGGTCACTTCAGCTTCCGTCGGTGATTAACCTCTGGGAATCCGGGCACTGCCTGCTCTAGCAGGCTGGACACTGGAGGTATTGGGGGTGGGCCCCATGCTGCCTGTGGGGGTGATGGGTCATGGATCTGTGTCCTGATTGATCTGAGGTCTAGCCCCACCCTGCCTCTCAGAGGGTGCTAGGTATGGGGGAGCCGCTGGGGACCTAGAGCTCCCTCATCTGGAGGCATGGGGCAGGGAGGCCGTGAGGGTGGGAGCAGTGCGTGAGGAGCTGCTGAGGTAACCTGAGTGGAGCTGAGCTCTGGCTCTGGGCTCCCACCCAGCACTGCCTCAGGTCATGTGAGCCAGCAGAGCCGGGGAGCTGGGACTCTTGGCTGGGGGGACTGCGGGGCCACCTCTGCTTGGTGACAGGGGCTGCAGTGTGGGGGCAGCGTACTGGATCAGCCGTCCTTGGGGTTGGGAGGAGGAGAGGGGTGGTCCTGCTCTCCCTCCTCCCCCCCCCCCCCAGCTGGGGCTTTACTCCGTAGCTCGTTACACCCAACCTCACCCCGTCACTCCTTTACTCCTTTCTAACCAAGCCTGTAACACATCTTAGGTCCTCCCAGAGCAACCCCCTGGCTGCAGGGAGACACCACCAGCGCTGCCTTAGTCTCCCTGCAGGGCACACCAGCTATCTACCAAGATTTCTCAGAGCTGCTCTGAGCAACTGTGGTGCCTCTCTCTGCCCCAGCTGGGAGTCTCTAGAAAGCCAGCTTGTCTTTCCAGAGTGACAGTGGAGCCTTTATCCAGGAGGGAGTGGGAGAGGGAATAAAAAGGCTTTGTGGAAAGGGAGGGTATGGGCTGAATTGATTCTTTGTGTGACGTGCATGGCAGGAGGGGCAGCTTTGGGCTGGGCCACCACCGAAGCGGGCGTGCTGCCTTGCTGAAAATGGACTGACTACACCAGCACAGTACCTCTATAGCAGTGGTCCCCAAACTTTTTTCCTCGCCCTCCCCCACCCCTGTCCACACCCCAACCCCAGAGCTGGGAACGGAGGGCCATGGAAAGGGGGCCAAGGCTGGGGCCACAGCTGGGGTCAGGGGGCGGGTCTGGGAGCTGAGCCTTGGGTGGATGGCTGGGCCGGCAACTGGGGCCAGGAGTGGAGCTGGGTGGTGCTCCCTCCCCACCCCCCGTGGGGGTGGGCTGGCCCGGCCCGCGCTCCAGCCATGCCCCCCTGAATGTTCCTCCGCGCCTCTGTAGCGGGGCACGCCCCACAGTTTGGGGACCTCTGCTCTATGGGAAGCTCCCGTGTAACGTTAAGGATGCGTTGGGGTATCTTTTCAGTCAGTTTGCCTATGGGAACTGGCGGGAGCCCCATTGCTTCCAGCCTGCACTATGAGACTAGTCTGTACCAAGCACTAAAAACATGCACGATGGGGACAAACCTGGGCTGGCCCCAGGGAATGGACTGGTTGGTCCAATAGGCCTTTTTTCTGTGTCTAGCATCTTAAAGCGTGTGTGGGTGCATGGGTGGCCACACTATAGTGATGGGCACTATATAAAAACAAAGCTGGATGGATAGGCCAGAGCAAGCGGCTGGCTGAGTTCCTGGGGAGCTGATGACTTTAATGCTGCTGAGGCTTAATTGAATGGTATTTATTGTATAATTAATGATCAAGTTCCTATAGCCATAGACAGGCATCTTCATTACTCTAAATCTAAATAAATACATAATGGACTCAAGGGAACACTTGGGCAGGGCCTGGCCAGCTGGCCTAGTGGGTCTCTCCCATCGCCAGGTGTTATGGTTCCATGACAATGAGATATCCAGCCCTGTGATACTTTGGGCTTTACCCAGGCCAGTAAGGGGCTCAGGGTGCCTAGAATACAGTTCTGCTGTGGCTCTCAGCACATGAGCATGGAGGTCTCACCCAGGCTTCCATTGCCCAGTTACTCCTTGCAGAGGGACCCCAACAACCTTTCCAGCCCCAGCTCTTCCCCCTGAAATGTCTTTGTGCAGTGCACAGCCCCTCTCACTGTAGCACTCCCAACACTGTAACAAGTTCACTGCTGCCTTAAAGAGACAATACACAGCAGCCTGTAAGCTCAGCTGGGGTTAATACAGTCTCCCCTTCAATCACTGCATGGAGTTGTTGTATAGTGCAAGTAGAACACATTTATAAGGAAAAGGATCCAGGTTTCCAGGATGTCAGGTAGAGGTAATAGAGATAGAAATGGCCACACACAAAATTGAAAATTTACTACTAAGAGTGAAACTCAACTTAACGAACTAGAGTCCTTTGCTCAAAGTTTTCTCACCATAGTCGTTCTTCTGGCATGGCTGGCTAGTTAGTCCTCAGCCAGGACCCAATCCCAGACCTGAAAGCACTGAGTGTTTTAGGTCTCCTCAAGTGAAGGATAACTTAAGGGTTCTCTCCCCTCTCTTTACAGTCCATTAAACTTTGAAATGTATTCTTCTGAAATGTAGCCCCAGATAAGGCTCCCTCCACCTCCTGGGTGTAGACGCTGTGCTGTATGGGAGCAGTTGCCAAGCTGGCTTCTCCCCCACTTGTGATTTTTACAATGCAGATGATCTTCCTGCAATCTCTGATACAAACCAGTAGCTCACTGGCCTTGCCACACCTGGCTTGAGGTGTCAGCCCCCCTTCCCTATATCTGGAAAAACCCATTTATCAACTTCCCCTGACATACCTAGTTTTAAGTCCCATATTTCCAGCCTCTCTGTGTAGGTTAGCTCTACATACACCACACACAGATATCAGTGAGTTATTAGTTTTCCAGTTATATATTACATGCCACCTTTGGATAAATACCATGACATCAGTGTGTGAGGTGCACTGAGTTGGTCAGGCCAGCTGGGACTCACTGGGACATTTCAGGGAACTCCATGCCATCTGGCATTGGAGTGCTTAAAGGGTCACACACCTTCACCCTTTCATCAATCTGGGCACAAGAGTACAGCAGACACTGATTGGCTTGCTCTGGCGATCCTGTGAGTTACAGGAACAGCCCTAGCAGGTTCACCACAAACAATATCCCCCTGGCCACCGCTGGTCCCAGGGAAGAATTGGGCTGTGCTGAGGAAGCTCTGGGCCCTCTTTCTGTCAGGGAAGGGCTTACCTCCTGAGGCATGGTGCCAGGCCAAAGTGGGTGACTCCTTATAGTTCCATTAGGGGGCTGCTCCTTGTACTGCAGGTTTGAGAAAAGCAATTCCAGAAGCTGACTTCAGTAGTTGGTGGTGCAGGGCTCTTCCCTGCTGTCTTCCTGCTCTTGCAGAGGAACTCTGTGGGACTCAGTTCTCCCCTGAGTGGCACCTAGACTGGGAATCTTCTCGCAATGGTGGCAGCTTGTGATTGCCTTTT